GCAACCCCCAGATCTCTCTACAAGGCCTCACACTCCTGCCTAAGCAAGTTACAGGGCAACGCCCCAGCTCTGGCCAGCGTCGTTCTGGCGTCGGCAAAACAGGAGCACAGAAAAGAACAACTCAGCAGATATCGATCCGGGTTTGACCATCTCTGAAATCCTATATCCCAGGTGTGGAAGAAAGCTAGATGCTGTTGATTAAAATCAAGAACACCAGAAAACTTAATATAACATCATTGAGAGATGGTGATGATGTTGTTGATGAAGATGATTATACTGATGATGATTTTGATAGGAAAATAGAGGACTATGCTATATCATCACCACTGGCCTCCTTCACCTCGAGCACCTCCTAGCACTCCCTATGCCAAGATCTTGCATCCCAGAGACAATGCCCTACTCACCAATGTCAGCCATAGCTGACCTGTTCTCACCACCAAGACTAATCCTAGCCCCATAGGTCGTCAAGGCAGCTTCCCCAATTCGTCACTGGATTGCCTTCCTCCTCATACTTCTGCCAATTGCAGATTACAGGGCAACGCCCCAGCTCCGGCCAGCGTCGTTCTGGCATCGACGAACCAGAGACACAGAACAAGGCAACTCTGCAGATATCGGTGCTGGTTCTATCATCTCTGAAATCTATGTCTTGGATAAGGAAGTAGGCAAGAAGCCGCCCAGCAATTCAAAAAAACAGGATGTATGAAATGTCAACGATATACCTTCAGTTAGTCTCCCCCTCCCCACCTTTCCCCTGCCCCGAAGCTGCCTCCGCTGACATGGATTACCAAATTACAGGCAGCCCATAACAGCCCCAACTTGGGACAGTCCCACCTTCCCCCTCATTATCCCAAAGAGGCATACAGTTCCCTCCCAAAGTATGTCTCATCCTACCCTTTACCCTAGTCTGCCCCCGCTGGTGTGAGTACCCCCACCCCAACCCCAGAATAAGGTAACCCACTAATTCTGCTCACACCCCCTCCAGGGCTGCACCTCCCACCTTGTGTCGCCCCTGCAGAGTGAAGCTCTCCCCTACTCCTCACCTTCCCTCCATCAGGAACAAAAGACTATTCGCAAAGAGGAGAAAAAAAATACCAAAGATCCAGCTAGCATTTCGAGTAGAAAAATTCGAGAGATTTCGAGGAGAAAGTCATAAAAATTCGGAGATGCGAATTTTAGGAATTATATACCGAGAAATTTTAGGTAGATAGTCTTGTCGTTGTGAAAATGGAAAAGACACAGAAATTTTGGTATTATCTCCAAATAAGAGCTCATAAGAAAATTGTGATAAAAAGAGCCAACAAGATCAACATCTTCCAGATTTTAARTATAGGTCTTAGGTATTATAAACATACCTTACTTGTAAGTTCGATAAAGMTAGTGATAGAAATCAKATTACTGGTAAGTTATGGATGTTAATAGGATATTATTTGATTGATGATAATTAASTTGATGATTTGGATGATGGTTGGATGCTAATTAGTTGATTWATTAATTCCTGAAACTAAGTAGAGAATAAGAAGAGAATGTAAAAACAACTTAAGAAATATCAATCAAAATAAACGAAATAATAATAAGGAAGACTGGCGAATACGATACTGACCAAAGGACTTTTATAAAAAACGTGACCGACTTCCTCACCCAATATCTCCCCTTCTGTCTTCCTTCTTTACCCCCTCCTACTCCGTATACTCCATTCCCCCCTCCACCCTTCGGAGCAGAGAAACGAGAAAAACAGAGGAAAAGGGAACAGAGAATAAGAAGAGAGGGGAGGGAAGGAAACTTGAGGAGATGGAGGTGGAAGCCAAAGAAAGAGAAGGATGGAGAAGGGTGGGTGAGCAAGGATGTGAATCTTCTCCCAAACCTTCACTACTCACGTTCAACTAAGATGATGATGATGATGATGATGATGATGATGACGATGATGATGATGATGATGATGACGATACTGTCGCTGCCCGATATTAGAAGTGAAAATCGTCCTGTCTCTTCTTTTCTGCTGCTAATTTTTGGCGCTTGACTCCCATTATACTCTCTCGTCGTAGAATATTCCCAACTGTAGTTTGTTGATTAGCCCCTGCGTGTCATCCGGTAAAAATCGCCCAACGTTTGTCGCCCCTCCGTAGCGTTTTTCCAACGCTAGAATTCGGATCCCGCCCTCGAGGGGGAATGCCTTCGCCCCCACGAACCTGTCGCAGCGATGCTTGGCATCCGACAATCAATCAGAACGAAAATTCTCACTCCTCGCCACGTGGAGGGTGAATCCACCGTGGAGGGAGGAGATCACCCACCGGGAGCACCACCGGCTAAGTCACCAATATCTGCGTTTCTCTCTCGTGCCTAATGGCGTGCGCGCTTCTGCACCGGTGCCTTGGCCGCTTGTGCTAACACCTGAGCATTCGGATCCTTTCGCACCGTTAGTGCTGACTTGTGTACTCCGGCAAGACTGACTGCAGCGGAACAACATCTCTGCTGCTGCTGTACCATATTCCCATCCTACCAGCTGGCCCCTTCATTGGCAGGACGCGTGATAACCCACCATCTTCTCATATTCAGCAATTAGTGGAAGTCCTTCAAATACTCAGAACCCCTGGAACCCCCCACAAAGACACTCTAAAATTTTCTAATAMTGTCTTCTTCCYTGCCGAGCTCTCCCAGGCCTCATGCCCCCACCCTGCTTGGTCACAGGGCAACATGACTCACCCCAGCTCCGGCCAGCATCGTCCCGACAGCAGCCCCTGGTTTTCCCTTAGGATGCCCGGCCCAAAGCATCCCCAGATCTCTCTACCAGGCCTCACGCTCCTGCTATTAACAGGTTACAGGGCAGCCCCCCAGCACCGGCCAGCGTCGTTCTGACATCGAAAAACCAACGGCTCCATGAGTAAACAACATCGAAAAAGCCTAGACTGCTTTGCAAGAAGTACCCAAGGTCCTAAAGAATTCTCAAGACTACCCTAGGAGTGAACCGCAGCGATCCTACAAGTGCTTAGAAGCCCTCGAAATCCCTAACGCACCCTTCCAAGGCTTTCCAACACTTTCATACTCCCTGCCGAGCTCTTCCAGGCCTCATACCCCCACATCCTGCTGGGTTACAGGGCAACGCAATTCACCCCAACTCCGACCAGCGTCGTCCCAGCAGCAACCCTTGGTTGTCCCGTGGGATGCCCACCCCAAAGCATCCCCAGATCTCTCTACGAGGCCTCACGCTCCTGCGTTAACAGGTTATAGGGCTAACACCCCA